TATCAACTGGAACTTGAATTATAGTTGAAGTACGATTAATGAATTATTTAAAAAATTAAATTAAATTTGTACAAATTTGTTTAATGGGTATTGGATGAAAATACAATTTAATTGATAAGAATGTGTCCTTTATTTAGGAAGTAATGCTACAACAAAACATTATTAAGTAATTGTATTTAAATACATGAAATTCGTGTACATTACACTCAAAATCAGTCACACGTTCTGAATTTTTTTGAAAGAACAATATACAAAAAAGAAAACGAAAATATTATTATAATTAGTCTTATTTATGATTATAATATTTTTATAACGATTATTTCGAATAATATTGTTCAATTTTAATTATGCATATCAACTTTATTTTGATAATTAATATCAATATAGCAAACTTGTTGTAGGAAATGAATAAAGTCTTTTTTTAGAAAACATTGAAGCTTTTGAAATTTGTTAATCGATAATAATGTTCTAAACTTTAAATCATTGTTCAACAACTTCATTATCTTTTAAAATATGATGTATTGAATTTTTCAAATTACTCTGCAAAGTGACAACTGATATGTCGACAATTTTCGAAAATTCGCATAGTAACTAAAAAAATAAATGCCTTAATTTTTTGTTTTATTATATTTTTATAGTAAACCTAATTTTTTATTTTTCTTAAATTGTGTAAAATTTGAAAAAATGCAGGAATTAAGTACTTTTGAATATAAATTTCTTATACTTTTTAAGTAGAAATAAAAAATATAAAACTTACCAATTCTTTGATTTTGAATGTTACACGGAGAGAAAAAAAGAGAGCCGTTTGATTTGGCAAGAGAGCGCTGTTTTTCCTTTATAAAGCGCAGCAGTAGCGACGCAAACGTCGAACGGTTATACTTTTTGAGGAGTATCCGTTCTCTTCTCCACACAAATAGAGCCGCTTACTTTCCAAAAAGTGTACCCGCTTTCCCCAAAAAGGAGAACCGTTCTCCCCTCGAGAGTAAGCAGCGTGCTTAACCTCAAGTTGAACGGCTGTTTCGCATTTAACGCAACCGCTTTACCGACAGGTAGAGCCATTTACTTTTTTTTCTCTCCGTGTAGATACTTTTGAAAAATTAACCCTGCGTTCATTTTCTTACACGTCATTCTTACACGAATGTCCCTCGTTTGGTTAATATAACATTAAAGTTTCTTTACGTTCGGTCGGTTGTCGTGGGCGCTTACTTCTGTAAGCATTTCCTTACGAAGAATATCATGTGCAGCAAGTGCAAAGTTTTCTTTGTAAACCTCTAATTGTTTACTTCTTAAATGTTTCAAACAAGCGGTCATTCTAGTTTCTGTCGGAATCTATAATTAACATTTAAATTAATTTTATAAAGAAGCAGAATAATTTATTATTTAAAAATATTTTGTCATTGAAAAAAATTAAAATTTTTCTTAAGGAATGAATTTATAAATCTCAAATAAAAATGATAAAATAATATCAATTACTTTAAATTAAAATAACATTGTAATTACTAGCTTACGTGTCCCGATCCCACTGGGCCTTTTAGAAAATCATATTTGTCGCATAACAAGACTGCCATCGCTTCAATTTCATGTTTCTTAGTATCGTAATTTGTAGCCACGAATAATTTTTTACATGTTTCTCGAATTATATATGATTTTTGACTTTGGCTTAAAGTAACGTTTACATTTATTAATTTCTCCAATTTATTCGGAAAATTGGTTGGAATTAATGTTTTGAAATTTATCTGCAAAGTCAAAGAAATAAGAATAAAATTTTGTAAGTATTTCCTAAACATTTAATTTATAAAAAGCAATATGTTAAGAAATAGAAGGTAGAACATACAATTAAAACAATATTTTTCCAATTTTATAATTTTTTATTTAAAAAAACAAAACAATTTATAATTAAACGGATATACTTCCGAAAGAAATATACCTCTGATTTTTTTGGAACTTTGTACAGGAGAGAGTCTCCAGTTGTGAGACAGTCAATTTTTTTAACATGCAATATTAAAAAGCCGATTGGTTTATATAAAAACATTTCTTTTTATATGAGCCAACTTTTTCGTGTACGCCGAAGCGGATATATAAACTGTTTTTGTTAAATACCAACACTGTGTGTGATAATCGACTAAAAAGCGTTTTTTCAATAAATGCAAAGTACTTTTTTCCAAGTTAATTAATTGGAAAAGGTAAATGTAATGCATTTTCTTTTAGTGTTTTCCTTATATTTTGTGATGCAATATTGCATTGTTCCAATCTACAGTTGAAAATAATTTAATTTTCCTTTTTCAAAATAGCGCCAATTTCTGGGTGTGAGACACAGCATATCACCAGTTGTGAGACGGTATCAACACCCATCTGGGCAGCATAAAAAATACGACTTTGCAGGCATACTATTTAAATGTTGTTTTGATTTTTTTCTAGTATTTTTGGGAATGTCAAGTGGAAAAAGCCAATTGATTCAGAAGAAATTAATTTTAATGCTCTTGTTGAAGCTATTTAATTGTGTTTATTTGATAGTCATATTTTGTCGAATAAATATTATTATTTAGTATATAATAATATATATTATTAATATATTTAATTATTTCTACTAAACATAACGTTTTATTTCAAACTTACTAAATTTTAGCAATTTTTAATGAGTGTCTCACAACTGGAGACATTTTTTTTTTTTTGAAAAAAGCGATGTGCTCGGAAAATGTATCGTAAAATTTTTTGAGTTCATCGAAACACTATACTTTCTTTCAATAAAAGTTGCGTATTTCTGTTACCTTTCGAACGGTGTATTTTATTTACAATTTCGTTTACCCGTTTACAATTTACGGGTCAAAAATAAAACCCGTCTCACAACTGGAGACTCCCCCCTACTTACGTAATTTTGTGCCCTGATTACGAAAATCATAGTGGAAATTGGCGACTAGGTCATCTTCATGGTAAAAACCATAAAAACCATCATAAAATTATGGTTTTTTGCGTTTAACTCGTTGGATTGGATTAATCATAATTTTTTGTGTTTAAAAATATTTGTAAATTGTTTTCTGCTTTTATTTAGAGGAGGAAGGAGTCACACACCTTAGGTTTTTCAGAATTAAATAGAAAACAAACAATACCACAATTAGATCTTCAATCAATTAAATTTTGATAAAAAAAAATTTCCAACCCAAGGTGAATGATTCCTTTCTCCCCATATATAAACAGAGAAAAATTTACAAATATTTTTAAACACAAAAAATTATGATTAATTCAATGCAACGAGTTAAACGCAAAAAAACACAATTTTATGGTGTATTTTATGGTTTTTACCATGAAGATGACCTTGTCGCCAATTTTTACTATGATTTTCGTAATCAATTTTCTTTATTTAGGTCTTATTTTAAATGTAATGATATATATTTACATATAAAAAATATTTAACATACCTTTTGCGTGATTGGATTGCCTACATGAAGTTACAAAGTTTTAATTTGAACGTTTTGCAAACATTTGCATGTAAATATATTGATAACTCGAAAAAAGGATCAGCTAGGATTTTGATCTCAACGGATTTTTACATTTGGTATGATGCAGGAACATTCCTGACAACCAGATTGTGGATCCATTTTTGTCAAACTTTTTTTTGGTTCTGGCACAGTGTAACCTACAGTTTTTAGGGTCGCTGATTACGAATCTGAAGTCAGATTTCAAAAATTCAAAATGGCGGATCCAATATAGCGGACATAAATTTTTTATATGAATCAATTTTAATGAAGCATAAGTATCTAAAGGTTTTTGGGTCGCTGATTACGAATCTGAAGTCAGATTTCAAAAATTCAAAATGGCGGATCCAATATGGCGGACATAAAATTTTAAAATCAATAAATTTGAATTAAACATATGTCTCTATGGGTTTTTTGGGTCGCTGATTACGAGTCTGATGTCAGATTTCAAAAATTTAAAATTGCGGATCTAAAATGTAGGACATACATTTTTTAAAATTAATCGATTTTTATGAAACTTCGTATCTAGGGGATTTTTAGGTCGCTGATTACGAATGTGATGTAAGAATTTAAGTGGATTTTAGATTGGGTGAGATTCGCCTACAATTTTTTGCTTGGGAGTTTTTAAGTTTGGTGATTACAAACCTAGTGTCTATACAATTCAGAAAATAAAAAAAAATTCCTGTTATTAGCCTACAAAAATAAAACGTATTGTATTTTCAAGGTCTACTACGAGGAGGTTATAGGTAAAGATCTTGTTTTGTATTTTTTTAGATTTAAAAATTTTTTTAAGGTTTTGTTTTTACATCTGATGTTTACTTAAATAGGTATATAGTTTATCGCGTGGGTATATCAGGTGCGCATGTAGTTCTATTGGAGAATCTGCTTTTATTTCCATAGATCAGCTAAACACTTTATTTCATATCTAAAACTGATTTCAGAAACACAGTGCTCATTTTTACATTTTTAAAATCTGACAACAGATTCGTAATCAGCAACCCGAAAAACCTCTACATACCTATGTTTCATTGAAATTGATTAATTAGAAATTTTTTATGACCGCCATTTTAATTTTTTTATATCTGATATCAGATTCGTAATCTGCTTGTTTGCTGGCAATTATATTTTTCTTTTATTTACGTGACAAATAAATAATTTAAAAACATTTTTAGCAGGAAAAAAGGTATTTTATGTTAAGTTTACCTGCTTTCAATTTATACTCATCGAAATAAGTAGGGTGATGTGCAACGTTTTTTTCCGTTGGACGAAAAACATATGTCAAATAATTAAATTTTGAAGTATTTCAAAATTGAATGACTTAGAGGCATTATAATAGATGAAAATCTTTTTAAATATTAATTTTAGGCTTTTTCAATGCAAACTAATCGAAATCTGACAAAAAAAATTTTATTAGGGTATAGTTGACCTCTGAAAAGTGGGTATTTCATCAAAGAGAAAATTTTTTTTGTTTAATGTTTTATTTATTCATAAAAGTAATATAATTAAAACAAAATAACTTGGAATTTTTTATTCATCATGTGAATCGCAGTTATTGCACGTAAAGTAGTTACGACCTTGCATATTGACACATTTTAAATGATATGGAATGTCGCAAGTATCGCAATAAATTGAATTATTGTGATTCAATTTTTTTGGCAATACTTGTTTACATTCAAGGCATATTTCTTCAACTTCTTCATCCGATGATGTTGATTTGCGAACCCGTTTTTTAGATGGCTGAGCATTTGCCTTCATCTTCTTTCGCGATAGTTTTAGCTTTTTGGCTTTCTTGACTATGTCGTCAGTTTTCTTGGACCGTTCTTCATCTTTCTTAGCCCGTTTTACAGCTTTCTTAGTCCGGTCGTCGGCTTTTTTTCGTAAATCAGAAACATTATCTAGCGACGTCAAAACGCTGCTTTTCAAAGATTTTCTGCCCCGATTTGATTTTGGTGTGGGAGCAACAAGATGAACTGGACCAACACTAACTAATGCTGTCGCAAGTGATTGGGATGTGGACGCAGGTGACGTGGAGGCTGCAGGTATTGCTGCAGCTGAGGTACTGGTAACTGCAGAGGCTGTTGTTGACACCTCTTCAGTTTGAGCAATGGTCAAATCTCGCACATCGTCGATGTGTTCTTCAGTTATTAGATTCTCACCACCAATTTGTGCTGCAAGAAAATCGTCATTTCCAAATATGTTGGAATTTAAAGGAAAGATTCCTGTTGCTGCGAAGCCACTTCGGATGTTGAAGGCAGTGCAGCTTTGAGTCAAGGCCTTGTCAACCGCACCAGCTACATGGTGAATCTCGAATTTTCGCCCGGCGTTACTAAGACCCCACTCATGGACTTTCACTGCGTATGTTTTTTTGACGGGACCAAAAACGGAAACATCCAACGGCTGCATACGGTGACTACAATGAGGTGGCAGCGTCAACACTGTAATGCCATTATCAACACACAAATCTATGGCCTCGATCGAAACATGAGATACGTGGTTGTCCATGATCAAAAGGAGCGGATTGTCTTTCGAGGCAGAGGTAAACTTGATGAATTGCTGCAGGAAGACGAGAAAGTCCGCTACTGTCTTCCAACTGCATTCATTCGCAAATTCAATTGATCCCGGCGGTGAATTCTCTATGAAAATGGATTTCATGTTTTTCCGAGGAAACAAGAAGAACGGTGGAACGGTATTTCCAGCACCAGTTATACTGACGACCACGGTTACATTCGTTCCACGCTCAGCCGAAGCAAAAGAGCCAAGTCTGGCTCCTTTTGGTGCCACCACTTCTACTGGCTGAGTTGGCACAGTGGTAAAGCCACTTTCGTCAATATTCCAAATTCGATGTTCTGCAAATGGTGTTTCCTCCAAAACAGCTTTCAAATTAGTGAAAAATTCGTCCACCGATTCTTTACAAAATCCTTTCAAGCGCTGAATGCTAGTCGATTGTGGCTTTCGTAACGATATATTTCTATGACGTCCCATGAATGCGTAGTACCAATCCCTGGTAGCTTGGCCCTTTTCAGTCCACTTTTTCGACATTTCGATGCCCAATTTCTTCCCATATTCGTCAGATAAGGTACTTATATCATTTATCGGCAGACTATAATTCATTTTTTCACATTTAACAATGTACGACATTAGTGCATTCTCCTGAATGTAATTGAACATCTAAAAAAATATAAAATTAAAAACCAAAGAATGATAGAACAACAAAGATTATAAAAAAAACTATTTAAAATTTAATTTATTATTTTATTTAAAATAAATTTAAATTATTACAGATGAAAAATATTCCCACGTAAAGTAACTCAAATTAAAATTTAATATTTTATTTTAGTTTTAAGTTTCATTTAGATTTTAAGTTGGAAAATTACCGGCTTTCCTCCAAGAATGACAGTTGATTCCAAAAAACTGATCGCTTCGTCTTCGTCGATGGTGTCAAAACTACGTTCATCTGGTGGAAAGTGCTCGTCAAACGTTCTCATATGACGGAATAAAGTCAATGGCACCAAGTTAAAAGAATGAGCAGCCGAACGGATTTACGCAGACTGATCGATTTTCAGTAATTTAATTGCTTCCCAAATTTTCTTGAAATCCGCTGGAGCAGCTATGCCTTTATTTTTGTATTTTCGTGGCATAATAACTAAAAGCATTTTAAAATACATAAACATACTTCATATTCACATATTGAATCATAAAATAACGATAAACTAAAAAAAGCAATGTTGCACATCACCCCAAAAAAAGTGTTACACATAACCCCAAATATGATATTTTGCGCAAAATGATTTTTTCGCAATACACTGCAATGGAAACACAAAATATAAACAGATATTTAAAACACTTAAAAACCCAACAATAAATACATACTTACCAATAATATAAATTAAAACTATTCACGAAACGACTAGAAATACAGAGAGCGAAAAATGTTTCTCGCTCGAGAAATTTAACGCGACTTACGTACAGCAAACATGGCTGCAAACTGTCTCGTGAGTTATATATAAAAAACAAGTTATTGAGGACACAAACAGATGGCAGTACTTGGCTTTGTTTAATATCGAACTGTAAATCAGAAATCGGCGGTGTTGCACATCCCCCCATGTTTCACATCACCCCACAGCACCCTAGCTCAAAATTAAAAATTCCAATTACTATAATATTATCGATACGACATCCAAACTAGAATCAAAAGTTGCGTCTTAACTTCAAATAACAGCTAAATAGCTTTTTTTCAACATGACTTTTTAATCCCACACTACCCTATTTATTGTAAAATATTTATTTTACATTTAATTTTTTTATATTTAAAACGATTTTTTATGCGATCTTTTTAGACAAAAACCTAACCAAAAACTTTTATTTTTGCACATGCGCCATTAAACAAGGTAAGATAAGGGGTCTACTTTCATGCTTTTGTCTCTTTCTATATGCCTAAGAATGCCTCTCACGGTAAAAGGTATAACTCGCGCACACTATTCTAATAACTCTATGCAAAAAACCTATAGATATCTATTTTTAATTCAAATTTATTGATTTTAAAATTGTTATGTCCGCCATATTGGATCCGCCATTTAGAATTTTTAAAATCTGACATCATATTAATAATCAGCGACACAAAAAACCGTTAAATACCACTGTTCATCATAATTGATTAATTTTGAAAATTGTCTTCATATAGGACCTAGCGGAGAAAGCATGCAAAATCTGCCCCCGCTCACAAAAATTTGAAATTCTTGTTACATGTTGGCAACATTAAGATAAAATTTTTCACCAAATATTTTTTGAAAAAATGTATTATTGTAAGAGTTATGGAGGGGGAAAGAAAAATAAAAAATTTGTTAATTCTCGAAAACCACTAGATCGATTTTAATGAAATTTACACGTGTTTTATAAATTAATAAGAGGAATTTAAAAAAAAATTTCAAAAAATTTTGCCCGAAAAAAACCCAAAAAAAAATTTTTAATTTTCAAAAAAAAAATTTTGGTCTTATTTTGGAGATACTACTTTGGAATTTTGACAGAAAATTCTCCTAAATGTGTAGTTTTAAAAATATTTTTGTCGATTTTTTAAATTGGGTACCACATAGTTGAAAAAATTAAAATCCTAGGTGGCGCATCATTCCGGCTGAAGCACAATGTACCCAGTCATTTTGAATTTTGAAAATTTAATATTACATTTGTACTGAGTGACCCCAGAAACGCATAATTACTAAATTTCAAGGAAATTTTAAAATAATCAGTTACTGGATACATTGTGCTTCAGCCCGAATGATGCGCCACCTAGGATTTTAATTTTTTTAACTATGTGGTACCCAATTAAAAAATCGACAAAAATATTTCTTAAAACTACACATTTTGGAGAATTTTGTGTAAAAATTCTAAAGTAGTATCTCCAAAATAAGACCAAAATTTTTTTTTGAAAATTAAAAAATTTTTTTGGGTTTTTTTCGGGCAAAATTAAAAAATTTTTTTTTTAAATTCCTCTTATTAAATGATAAAACATGTATAAATTTTATTAAAATCGATCCAGTGGTAAAATATTTGGTGAAAAATTTTATCTTAATGCTGACAACATGTAACAAGAATTTCAATTTTTTTTGAGCGGGGCAGATTTTGCATGCTTACTCCGCTAGGCCCTTTATTGCATATATTTATATGTTTATTGCAATATTCTTGTTATATTGAAAAAATATGAAAAGGGGCAAAATGGCACATATTGGCGTCAAAGTAGACATGCTAAGTAATCGTTCTATAACTTGTTTTTCCAAATATTATGCGGCTCGGAGGAGCTCGACTAACTAAAAGTCGGCACTCTATTGAAAAATCCACTATTTGTTAACTTCAATGGAGCTACATTCTAATAAATTATATTTATTGAAGTAACTATTGGTTTTTTATTTCAATATATCTGTTGATGAGAAGAAATAAGTACTTATGAGGCATTCTTTCTCAAGTGGGCCACCCCTTCTCTCCATTTCAAATTTGATCCAAAAATCTTTTATAATAGCTCAAATTAAAGGTAAAAATGTCAGTTTTTTAATGCCGTTGGACCCTTTTTGAAATATTAATTTTCAATTGAACTATAGAGAATTTAACGACAGAATGCACTATGACCAATTCTTTTTCATGGTAAAAAACGAACAAAAACACAATTTTCAAAAATTCTACAAGGCCTACAACATTAAATTATATGAGAAAATTACAAAATTTCATATTATTTCCTAAAATTAAAGATAGCGAATCCAACATGGCGCCAAAAATTTAAAAAATTTATAATTTTTGTTCAAACTCACCATAAAGGGGTTTTTGGGATCGCTGATGACGAATTTGGTGTTAGTTTTTCAAAATTCAAAATGGCGAATCCAAAATGGCAGACTTAAAAAATTAAAAATTAATTGGACTTGCCTAAAATTTGTTATTGGGGGTTTTTGAGATCGCTGATTACGAATTTGATGTCAGATTCTCAAAACTCAAAATTGCGATTCCAAAATGGCGGACTTAAAAATTAAAAATCAATCGGATATGCCTAAAATTTGTTATTTGGGGGGTTTTTGAGATCGCTGATGACGAATTTTATGTCATATTCTCAAAATTTAAAATGGCGAATCCAAAATTGCGGACTTAAAAATTAAATATCAAACGGAATTGTTTAAAATTCGTTATTTCGAGGATTTTGGTGTCTATAATTACCAATTTTATGTCTATGATTAGGAATTTGATGTCGAATTTTGAGAATTCAATATAAATTAGACACATAATCTTTAAATTTTTTTAATCCAAGTTCCTTATTGTCATTTGAGCATAGCTTTATTAATAATAATTCCTAAACCAAACATAAAAATTTGTATGGAATGTATCTTAGGATGATTTTCTGCGAATGGATCTGCCCGAAGGTGCGGTGATCATCGGCTTTGCGGACGACGCGTTGTTCGTGTGCACTGCCAAAAGTGAGGAGGATCTTGGGACATTGGTGAACAAATGTCTGCGACTAGCAAAAAGCTGGCTGGATACCAGAGGTCTTGAAACGGCCCTGGAAAAGACTCAAACAAAGCCGTTTGATTTCTAATTTTTGATCCGCGATCTCAAAAACCCCCAAATAACAAATTTTAGGCATATCCGATTGACTTATAATTTATGAGTCCAAAATTTTGGATTCGCCATTTTGAATTTTGAGAATATGACATCGATTTCGTCATCAGAGATCTCAAAAACCTCCAAATAACAAATTTTAGGCATATCCGATTGATTTTTAATTTTTAAGTCCGCAATTTTGAATTCGCCATTTTTAATTTTGAGAATCTGACATCAAATTCGTAATCAGCGATCTGTCACGTCCTCGTGACTTTTCTTAAAATTATATGTAAAACATTGTGCACTTATATGTCTATTAGAAAGGGACAAAACTTTGACCTTTTGTTAAAACGAATATATTTTGTCTTGTTCACGAAAACTGGCACGTGTAAACTACCCTCATTTAAGAAACTAAGAATATCTTTGTTATTATATATGAACACCTTGCGTTTGAATCATAAGGAACGAAATTTAATTGATTTTCCTCGCTGATCACCCCTATAATTGTATTGTAACCCTTGGTAACAATTAAAAAACTAGGGTGATTGCGGATATAAAACCCGCAGATTTGTCACCTTTTCCTCAGTCAAGATCCGCCACCGAAATTATACTCATCGCCTTGTGAAATTATATCAGTGTTGTTAAGCGAATAAGTTTTACTCGTATCCAATTCTTGACTCCTGGGTACCCCTTTCTAAGTTCTACGTTACCCAGTTTTACCAACCCTCATCCAACATTCAACTAACGCTTGGGAAGCGTTACCAAAGCTCAACCAACCCTCAACGCTCGGCTAACCCTTGGGAAGCGTTACCCAACGCTCAACCAACCCTCAACGCTCAAGGCAACGCTCAAGGAAGTCTAACACAAAATATACTTGTAAGTAAAATTGTCTTTTATCTAAGATATTATCTTTGGGTCCTATTATTATTCTAACTGATTGGTTTCTCTTTCAGTGTGAAATCCAATAGGACGGACCAAGTTCGAGTTGTCAATTCCAAAGATTCATATCAAGGTTCATTTTGTAATTGAGAAAATAAACGTGTCAGTATTCAGTATTTAAGCTTTTATTTTATGAAGCCTGTTCCCTTAGTTCGAAACCGTCGGTTTCGTAAATAAATCAGGCAACTATTAAAATAATTAGTACTAGTCCCCTTCTGGGACATAACAGTACACAATTTTTGGTGCATCGGCCGGGAAACCATTGTAAAAATGAAAGCTTGTAAAACTGAATAAGTAACAAAAATATATATACACATCAATATATCGAATCAAGGAATTGACAAGCCGAATACATATTATTGCAATTTTTATCCTCGAATAATGATAAATGGTTAAAAAAATTTTTTCCCAGAATTGTTATATCCTGTTATGTTATGCAGAGAAATGATCCCCCTTCACAGAGTGATAGAAT